CTCTCTCTCTCTCTCTCTCTCTGTCTCTGTCTCTGTCTCTCTCTCTGTCTCTGTCTCTGTCTCTGTCTCTCTCGCTCGCTCGCCCTCTAGATGTAGAAATCTTCAGGAATGCAGGGCTGGGTTTGCACGCACCTGCCTTCTCCACCCACCAGGTGACCATGTGCTGGCATGTTCCTACACGCTACCCCTGGACAATGCTGGGTGGGCTGGGGAGGGGGGCATCAGCTGGCCTTGGTACCCCCCCCCCTCCTCCCCCTCTCTCTCTCTCTTTTGGTACACGTTTGTACACGAATGATCCTCGGACAGGAAACTAGCTGTCAGCACCCAAGATGTCTGTGTGGCATCAGCCAGCACCCTGGGAGGGGAGGCGTGGGAGGGAGAGGAGGGGGAGGAGGGGGATGACTGGCCAACCCATTGGCCGCAATGTGCTGGGGGAGGTTAATACCAGCTGGCGTGTGTGTGTCCCAGGCGCAAGGGGCAGGCCATTACGGCTTGCCTCGGCCCTCGCAAATTGGGTCAATCAAACAAAACCACCAGCCATTGCTGAGGGGAGAGAGGGAGGAGGGGAGGGGGGATAAGTGGTGAGGTTGAAATTGCTGGCTGCTGCTGCTGGGTGAGGAGTCAAGCAGGCCAGACAGATAGACGGCGTCTAGGGGGGGTGGTGGAATGAATGCTTGTGCATGACCTCTGTTTCTCACTCTCTCTCTCTCTTGCTCTCTATCTCTTTATCTCTCTCTATCTCTTTATCTCTCTCTATCTCTCTATCTCTATCTCTATCTCTATCTCTATCTCTCTCTCACTCACTCACTCACTCACTCACTCACTCACTCACTCACTCACTCACTCTATCTTACTCGCGCGTTTGGTGTAGAATACATACATATATAACATATATAGAATCGTAGATATGCTACACACATGATGTCTAACGAGTCTCTCTCTCTCCTCTCTTGCAGAATGTCGTGATCTCATCAAGAAGTGTCTCTCAGTGAAGCCTTCCGATCGACCGTGCCTTGAGGATCTGCTCAGCCACCGCTGGCTGAAGCAGGGGGCGCCACACGAGCCGGCGCTGTCCACCATGCGGCGCACGTGCACGCACCGCTCGCTCGACCAGTCCTCGACCTCCAGCCAGGAGAGCTTGTGATGCCGCGCCGGCGCCTAGCAACCCCCGACGTCGCCGTAGCAACCGCGCGGTAACGAACGAACACTCGCTCACGGCAGCCGGGGAGGCGGTGACGCCCACTGGCGGCGGGCCGACGCCCGCAGCCTATGTGCCAAGACGCGTGTGGCGGAGCCAACGCCGGAGCCGCCTGGCGACGCGTGTCCCCAGTGTCACCGCTTCGCGTTAACACGACCGAAGGAGGAGGAGGAGAAGAAGAAGAAGACATATCAATTGCGCACGCGATCTCTCTCCCGCGCACGCTCTCGCACAGGACGAGAGAAGACTCCGCTGGGCGCGCGCGTGCGGACGTTAGGGGGCGCCACTGCCTCCCCCGTCTCGCCGCCGCCGCCCCAGCGCACGGGAGACTTCCGACGTGTGGACCGTTTTCACGCACACTCGTGTTTTCGACAAGGAGGACGGCGGGGGAGGCGACGTGACGCCGCCTCCTCTTCCCCTTCCTCTCCGACACATTCCACTGGAGACCTTCCCCCACGTGTGTCACACCTAGTTCACTGCACCTGTGTGTGTGTGTGTGTGTGTGTGTGTGATGACCTCCGATGACCTCGCGGGGTCGTCATGACAACGGCAGCAGCAGCAGCAGCAGCAGCAGCTCTGGAAACCCAGTTGGTGCTAAAACGACTCGACATACGGCCGACTCCAGACTCCAGCTGATTATTGCGCTGTGCAAGGCAACATCAATGCAAAATGTTAAGAGACAATTGTACAGGAAATTTGTGTGTGTATGTGTGTGCGTGCGTGCGTTATCGTTATCGTTATCGTTATGTGCACACACTTGAGTGCGTGCGTACGTACGTGTGCAATGTATGTGTACGCTTGGTGTAAACCAGTACTTCCCCGTGCGTGCGTGCGTGCGTGCGTGCCATGTGTAACGGCGTGTGTGTGCGTAGGCTATCGTCCGGGACGCAGTGGTTTTAGGAGGCTTGGATGGGCCTGGCCACCTACTCCTGATTTGTCTCTCCACTCTAAAATGTACCAAATTGACATTAAAGTATACATCGTATAGCGGAGTATTTAAAACCAGACTAGCCAATTGTAAATAGCGTACGATTCGGAGTTAATTTATTTCGGTTGAGTTCACAAAGTTGTGTTTAATTATGATAATTATAATAATAATATTCATGAACGATGTAAATGCGGCGTCGTGGTGCAGGTTAGGAAATTCATTCGAAAATTTCTCTGAGGTACCTTATTGTGAATTTTTTTATTTCTGGGTATGAGATCAAAATAGCGACAACTTTGTTTCACAAAAAATGCTCAAATTGTATTCTGCGTTTGTGGGGTGCTTGGGTGATGGGGATTTTTCTAAGGAAAATATGGTCAAATAGGTGTTTTTGTATAAATGTCTCTCCCTCCAAGCTTGTACCAGAGAAATTCGGTTGCCTCAGAGAGATAGGAAAGAATCAGTGGCTGTACCTTTTTGTATATACGTTGTATAAAAAATGTTATCGCAGACAGATATAAATGTTTAATATTATTTCGAGGTTTTATTTATTTCCCCGCTGCATTCTCTCCTTCCACGCGGACCAGCGTGAGAGAGCAGGGGGTAGCGGCAGCATGCTGGAACAGCCGTGGGGGAGAGTCCCCGAGCGGCCCACGCTGACGTAATCAGTGCTCGTTGCTCATTGGTTGCCGCTCTACGGCGACGATCCCTTCACCGCTGTCACCCGCGATGCGCCGCGTCTTGCTCGCTTAGACGGGCGCTGCGTCTCGTTCGCGGCCCGCCTTGCGTGCGCGCGGAACGGACGCGCGCCCGTCTACGAACCGCTTTGCTTGTAAGACACGGCGAAGTTCCTTAGGCAATTTTAGCTTGGCATGCTAACGCGTGTTGGGGGAGGGGGTGCGGGGGGAGGGGGCAGCCAGCGTGGGGGGTTTCGGCAGGGGGGCAGCCTCTGTAAGGGGCGCTTGTTCATGAATGTTTGTGCAGCTTCTTTACAAAACGTAGCCAATTTTTTCTCGGGACCGTAGAATAGAAAACAAACGAACGCCGTGTTTTTGAACTTTCGGTGGCTTTTTTCCGGACGCTGTCCGGCTTCGACCCGGCTTGCGCTCGCGGACTATCCGTGGGTGGCCGGATTCCGGAACCGAAATCCGGGCTGTTCCATTTTTCGATCGATGGCTGCGGGGGTCGGGTGTTTTGGCATTGCGTTTTCCGAGGGAAAGGAAGAAAAGAGTCATGTGTGTCCGGTAGATATAGTCAATTAGCTACCGTGAAGAGAGGGTTAAAATACGAAAACTCTGGGGTCGAAAAATGCCAGCCGAAGGTTGCTGATATGGAACAGCCTATTGCGATCTTTTTTGTAAATAAGGGAAGATAAAGAATCTTGTATTTTTATAAAAAAAATGTACGAAAATGTGATGTAATGAATAAAACTTTGTATTATGGTGGAAAATTTAATTTCGCTCTTCCTGTTTCGTGTTGACCCGCGTATATGCACCTTGAGTGACAATCATGACGGCATATGTGACAAGTTCTAGACGCGCGAAACACTATGACATAGATTGAGACAAGTTCTCCTTGCTCTGAGACACTATAACGTAGACTGAGACACTTGTTACGTAGACTGAGACAAGTTCTATTTGCTCTGAGAGACCTGTAACGTATCCTGAGACAGCGCATAAGACTTGTGAGACAAATGTGTCTAATAGAAACACTACTATACACACATCTAGATACATATATCTATCCTCGCAGCGCTATACATGTACATCAAAACAGACTACGGTAGATGTATGCAGAGCCGCCTCTATGAAGCCGACCAATAGCAGGCGGTTAAGCGAGTCACGTGATTTCAACATGGCAGCCCCCTGCGGAATGGTTGGAGAAGTTCAGCTGGAGGAGAAATTAATTGAATTATGGCCGTAATATCGGTGTTTATGCGATGTATCATCTGTAGAATTCAAGGATAGGTACAAGCGGCAAGTAGCACTAGAAGAAATTTCCACAAAGTTGGAACAGAACGGCAGGTAATTTGTTACATCAAAAGTTAGTACTAACGCCCCTAATAGTGATCGTAGGGTCTATGTCCCCCTGACCTCTGTTTGACCTCGCTCGTTTAGCTATTTCTGACTAACCCTAACCCTAACCCTAATCCTAACCCTAACCCTAACCCTAACCCTATATATATTATAGTATTGATATATTAATTATATCTTAAGTCGAGCCAGAGATAAGCTAATACGAGCGAGAGTACAAACAGAGGGTCAAGGGACATAGATAAGACCTTATCGCCGCTGCTAGATAGTAAATATATTGCTCAAGGTTCTGGTGTCGAGCAAAGAGATGTGTTGTTTATGCACCCAGCGGCCGGGAACAGGCGCAACTTGGAGAGGAGCGTTTCAATAAAAGTAGTGAATGGCTAATAGAATACGGAAAATTCTATCTGCTTACGGCGAAGTTCTGTTAAGGAATGTTTGCTGATACTCGTGCTGTCGATCTATTATTCCTGACCAATTTGTCTGTAAGATGCCGGTTAAGAAAGTGCTCATCTTTCAACCAACCCCCCCCGGACCGCCCGCAGCCAGCCATACTACCGACACAGAACACGACTAGAAACTGCTCCGACAAACACTTATTGTGAAAAAATTGACAGGTTATTCCGAGAGTTATTATTAAATTATAAGTTTTTGGTGGTATGGGGCGGTTGGCGTGATTTATGTTTGTAGATTATCAGTTAGATATGGAAGTATAATGGTGTACGTTGAGACAGTTATGGCGGATGGCCAAGAAGGATTAAGTGACTAATGAATTATACTCGAAGCTCTGGCAGGGTTGTCTTTGTTCCTTTGGGTCTATTTGTTGTTCTTCATGGTGCAGCTAAATAACTTTACAGGGAGTCAGGTATGATCGGGGAGAATGAGAAGGCAAGGCTAGAGACACCATTATATACATATTGATATTCCACAAACATACGCACGCATACACACACTTATATTTATATATATGGACATACTGATAAATTCAATAGTGTTGAGCAGTTAAAGTGATAGATTTTCTGAGTGATACAGTACAAAACAGTGCATACAACATGAAGAAAAAATAAGAATAGAAACCATAAAAAAACTTCAGCAAAGTCTGTACAAGCAAAGTAATTAAGGTACACTTTAACATCTTTTGACACTCATACGTGTACACCATTATATACATATGACATACATTACATATCCCATACACATACGCGCGCGCACACACACACACACTTACATGTGAGAGTCTGTTCAACTCTCCCTAGCTCGTTTTGCCCCCGTTTTCGTCAAACTAAAAGTTAAACTGGGAAAGTATTCGTGAGAGTGCAGCGTAGTTGTGCTAGTTGCCGCTACGTGGCGTTTTCGCGCTTCAGGCGAGGTCGGGGCTGCCTCTTGTCTAGACCATGTTCACTAACCGAAATACAGGTTCAATTTGGTCCAACTGTGTTTTAGCTTTGTTTTGTAGCCTTCAGGTGGCGCCACGTGCATGTAAAGTCGACAGGGGGCGCGTACGTCACCGCGCGCGTGGAACCGTATCGTCCGCTGACTGATATCCAGTCGTATTCGCGAGCGTATAGAATCGCGGGTAGAGAGTCCGTACGACTGCGTGGCGGACGGGGAATTGATGCGATTCGTGCGAGAAAATGTCGTCCGTGTGCGCTCGCTCGACGCCGCGCGTGTTGGCGATACAGACGAGCGACGTCTCCGGCTACGTTTCAAACAAGTGCGCCGTGTTTCTGCTGCAGGTGAGTAAATTCACAGGTGAGTGTGGGTGAAGTTACAGGTGCGTATGAGTAAAGTCACAGGTGAGTGTGAGTGAAGTCACGGGTGAGTGTGAGTACAGTCACGGGTGAGTGTGAGTAAAGTCACAGGTGAGTAAAAGTCACAAGTGAGTGTGAGTAAAGTTACGGGTGAGTGGTGAGTACAGTCACAAGTGAGTATGAAGTAAAGTCATAGGTAAATACTGAGGAAAGTTAACAGTAAACTATGAGTAAAGATTACAGGTGAGTGTGAGTAAAGTCACTGGTGAGTGTGAGTAAAGTCACGGGTGAGTGTGAGTACAGGTCACGGTGAGTGTGAGTAACAGTCACAAAGTGGTTGTGAGTAAAGGTCATCAGGTAAATATGAGAAAAGTCAGCAGGTGAGTATGAGTAAAGTCAGCATGGCGAGTGTGAGTAAAGGTCACTTGGTGAGTGTGTGTAAAGTCACGGGTGAGTGTGAGTAAAGTCCACCAGTGAGTGTGGAGTAAAGTCACAATGTGAGGTGAGTAAAGTCATAGGTAAATATGATGTGGAGGAAAGTTACAGGTAAAGTATGAGTAAGAGTTACAGGTGAGTGGTGAGTAAATAAGTTAACACGGTATAATATGAGTAAAGTTACAGGTTGAAGTGTGAGTAAATTAGTTACAGGTAAAATATGAGTAGAAGTACAAGGTGAGTGTGAGAAGAATCAAGTTAGGCAGTAAATATGAGTAAAGTTACAGGTGAGTGTGAAGTAAATTAAGTTACGGGGGTAAATATGAGTAAAGTTAACAGGTGAGTGTGAGTAAATTAAGTTACAGGTATAATGAGTAAAGTACAGGTGAGTGTGAGTATAATTAAGTACTAGGTAAATATTGAGTAACAGTTACGAGGTGAGTTGAGTAAATTAAGTTAGCAGGTAAAATATGAGTAAAGTTACAGGTGAGTGTGAGTAAATTAAGTTACAGGTAAATTGCAGTAAAGTTACAGGTGAGTGTGAGAAAATCAAGTTACAGGTAATTGGGTAAAGTTACAGGTGAGTGTGAGAAAATGCAAGTTAGCAGGGTAAAAACTGATAAAGTTAAGAAAAAAAGCAGGTGAGTGTGAGTAATTAAGTTACAGGTAAAGTATCGAAGTAAAGTTAGCCAGTGAGTGTGAGTAAATTAAGATTACGAGGTAAATAATGCAGTAAAGTTATAGGTGAGTGTGAGTAAATTAAGTACAGGGTAAAGTATGAGATAAAAGTATACAGGTGAGTGTGATGTAAGATTAAGTACAGGTAAATATGAGTAAGAGGTTACAGGTAAATATTGAGTAAGTATCAGTTTGAGTGTGAGTAAAAGTTACAGTAGATATGAAGTGCTCTGCGTGTGAGTGTGATATGTGTGGTGCGTGCGCTTACTGTAGCCATGGCAAGCCGGTCTCCTTATGCCTGTGCAGAACACCGTCAGGTCCAGAATTCGCTGCGTCTTCATCTTATTCTGTTTCTCTTTCCTCATTCGGACACTGCTCTTCCACTGCGCTGTTCTCCGCTCTGCCCTATATCTGCTCTCGTGCTGCTCATCTCTCTTACTCACTGCTCTCTCTCTCTGCATCCTCTCGTCTCTCTCTCTCTCTTCTCGTCTCTCTCTCTCTCTCTTTCCTCTCGTCTCTCTCATCTGCTTGCTCTTCTATCCCGCTCTCTCAGTCTCTCTCTCTCATCTCTTCGCTCTCGTCTCTCCTCATCTTCTCTCCATCCCTCTCTCTCTTCTCT